TTGGAGATTATTTTACCACATTCGATTCTAAGTGAAGATTTATGACTTAATTAGCGGAACCGGTCAGATGTTGTTCTGCTCTTCATCTCCCTCTTTCTCCTTCCCTTTCCCTTTCTCTCCGTCTCTCCCCCTCTCTCTGCTTCTATCTCCCTTGGTCTTTCCCTCTCTGTCTCTCCCTCTCGTTCTCCCTGGCTCTCTGTTCCTCCCGCGAGTGTTTTTAATTAATTTTTTTAATAACTGGAATTTTATCAGCATTTATTAATAGAAGTGATGCAGTCTTATCCATCAGAATCAAAGCACAAACAAAAAGGTCTAACCTTCACCAAGTTATCAACTTTACTAATGATATGTTGTTTGTACACTTGATTTTATATTTTGTGGTGCATCTCTGAGATTTTCTGTTATAAAAAGTTGTTGTTATTATTATTATTATTATTATTATTATTATTATTATTGTTTGCTTGTTTGTTTTTCTTCTTTCTCCATTTTCTTTTCTTTCTTTCTTTCTTTCTTTCTTTCTTTCCTTCTTTTTCTTTCTTTCTTTCTTTCCTTCTTTTTCTTTCTTTCTTTCTTTCTTTCCTTCTTTTTCTTTCTTTCTTTCTTTCTTCTTCTCTTCTTCGTGTTCTTTTCTTTTTTCTTCATTATTATTATTATTATTATTATTATTATTATCAGTCTACACTAATTTATACATTCTCTCCATTTCAAAGAAAGTAAACCCATAAAATGGAAGGGTTAAGCAGGGATGAAATATTAGTTTGTCTACATTGCCATTGCATATTTCACAGACATTGGGAGCATTTTTTCCGTTCTTTGTTCAGAATGTGTCAAACTTGCAATATTGTATCCTTATTTAATTATTGAAATGGGGAAATTCAGTCTGACTTGTTTTCTCTGTTCCACTATTTTCTTGTCATGGAGGGGCGTATTATTGATTTGGATTTTGATAGGATTTCCGGCAGATGTAGCATTAGTGTGTTTCTGTAATTTCTTTGAATGATTATATGAAAATCCTATTTCATATATTGCCTACCTCAAGGTGCTTAAAAGGAACAGATTTCTATATTACAATGCATCAAGACTGCTGAACACTTACGCATTTAGAACAAAAACGTATTTAAAGAATATTTATTTATTAGTGTGGTAAGACAATTAATTTCACACAATGTGAGATATAGTGAAATAACATTGGTTAGTTATCATAATATATTTTTTTTTTTCTGTTTTTTGGTCAGTCATATATTTCTGAGGTTTTCATTTTAGAATTCTATCTTTATAATCAGTATGTAGAATATGGATGCACCAAAATTCTTTTTCTGGCAATTTTTCAGATGAAAACGTATATTTGTGTGAAAAAATACTTTTCAATTATAGAATAATTGCTATATTTAAATCAATTACATTCTTGATGTTAGAATACCTATAATTAATTCTGGGCTTCACAAGCATTAAACATCCTGAGAGGATAAAAAAATATTCAGTTTATTATAAATGCTTATAATATCTGAATGATTCAAAATGTTAAGAAATGTTATATTTTGTCATCCATATACCTCATGTTAAAATTGTTTTCTCTCTCCCTCTCGTCCTCCCTCCTCTCTCTCCCCCTTCTTCTTCTCTCCCTCTATTCTCTCCCCCCTTTCTCTCCCTACTTCTCGTCCCTCTTTCTCCCTCCTCCCTCATTCCCCTCATTCTCCCCTCTCCTTCTCCCCTTCTCTCTCCCCTCTTCTCCCCCTTTCCCCTCTCTTCTCCCCTCCCGCCTTCTCTCCTCTCCTCTTTCTTCCCCTTCTCTCTCTCACCTCTCTCCCTCCTCCCTCTTTCCTCCCTTCTCCCCCTCTTCTCCCTCCTCTCTCCCCGCCTTTCCCCTCCTCCCCCTCTTTCTCCTCTCCGCCCTTCCTCTTTCCCTCCTCGTCTCTCCCCTGTCTCTCTTTCCCTCCTCTCTCTCCCCTCCTCTCTCTCGGTCTCCTCTCCTCCTCTCTCCCCCTCTTCTCTCCCTATCTCTCTCCCTCTCCTGTCTCTCCGTCTCTCTCTCCTCCCTCTATCTCCCTGACTCCTTAACAATCACTTTTCTGTTAATTTTTGTAATCAGTTGTCATGGTGTTATTGTTAGGGCCAGTTTCTTACATGATTTAAAACTGATTGGTTGTGGATAACAAGCGCATTATCAAAAAATTGTCAACTCCATATCGGTAGCGCATTTAAATATAATAAGGTTACATTATCTACATTAAGGTGATTTTTTGATTTACTTATTTCATGGTCTAAAGCCCACATTATTCTAAGTAAAAGACATTGATTTCATAAGCATCTTATGCATAAACACATGCTGAGTAAAACAATTACTATTGAAATAAGTCAGTTTTCTCAGTATTATGAAGAGAAATGTGGCTTTTCTTACTAAGTACAGCCAGTCAATAACTTAAATTAACTGAAGAACAAACTTTGGTAGTGCCAAAAGCAATTTCAGTCATGAAATTGTTTTTACACTACCAAAGTGCTTTCTCGTGAAATCAAATATTATTCACAATTAGTTTTGGAAACTAAATATAAAAACACAGAATTTCTTAAACATGCAAAGAAGCTCAAATAATTTCACAGAAATATATGATTCACTTTTAATAATATTTGCTTGTTAAATATTCACTTATTTATACTGTGCTCTCATCCATTGTTGTGTTTCATTCCCCATCTCCTCATCACTGCTTCTCTTCTCATGTACTTGGAGTCAGTTTAACATACTCCTTGCCTGAGTTTTCAATATTAACTTAATAGTTATTGACTGCCTCTCCTTAATACGAAATGCCACATTTTTATGTATAATAAAATAATTATTCACCACTACAAAATCATTTACACTTGAGAGAAGTAATACAAACTTCCTTCATATTAACTTGATTACATATATTCAATAATCATTAGATCAGTCACAGATAACAAGGATAGGTTATCCATATTTATTCACTGTTCTTCTGATTAATAAGTTTAACTGTATAATATTCATATTAAAAAGGTCTACTTCAAGATCATCAATTATGTCACATATTCTTGTTATTGGATCATTTATTGCGTTCTATAGAATATTATGTTAAAGTTTGGATTTTGTCTGCATACTCTAGCAGGAACATTAAACTTCAATTCATATATCAGCTTGGGACAAACCAAATAGTAGTTAGAGTTTGTACCAAAATTTGCTGTTGTTCCATTTCCTTGCAGAATTAATTTAGGGTATTTGCAGTCTTGAAGCAATATGTTTGTATTTGAGATCAACAAAGGGATCGGGAATTCCTAATCTGCTGGATATCATTGTTAAAAAATGCATGCTGAACTGTTTCCAGCCTTTTGATGTTTTGGTGAAAAAAAGGTGACTATATCACTAACCCCCACATCAATAATGGTCATACAAGGAGATGATGTAAGGTTATAAGAGCCTCAACTGAATATAACTTTATATAAAGTCTTCTGATCAAACCTAGTTGCTGTATTGATTTTAATGTTTCGTGTATATGAGCCTCAAAGGTCATATTGGAATCAAATACAACTCTTTGGTCTTTAATAGTAGTCTTTTTCAAGGTTCACTCCATCTATTGAGTAAATATTTATTAAGGGTTATCTTGTTCTTGAAAAGGTAATTGGTTAAATTGAGACACACATTATTCCTCTGACACCAATTGTGCAGATTGCAAAGTACTCACTCGATCGTCGTTGTCACCACCCTTAGTTTAGGAGAGGTGCTCCTGTCCTATTAATTGGTAGTAAAACAGTATTTCTTCATGTGGTGAAGTGTTCCTGCTGATGCCATCTTCTTGTTAGCCTGCCCCTATCCCTCTTGCCATTCGGTCTAATTTAATGCCATCTGTGGTAGACTTTGTCCATTCTTTTCGCGTCTCTCCGTTTCCTTTGGTAATTTTTGATTTCTTCTGTGAAGTTACCTGTGTTCAGTTCTTTCCTAAATTGTTTCATTTTGAATTTTGTCCTTTCTTGTTACTCCCTAACACTGTGCTTAGATACTTCATCTGAGCTTCTTCTATGCTTCTGTGAGCACCTAAAAATGTAAGATCCGATTTAACTCCGCAAATCAAAAATAATTTTTATTCTTCTGATGAAATAAGTGAAAGCAAGAAAAAAAACAACCTATTTTAGCTCTTATCAATCTTACATGTATGCCATTTTAAATTTTGAAACAGAGGTTATCTAAATTTTGGAATTAGATTCAGATGAGGAAGAGATGATTGAAAGCTTTTCCAAGAGCTTCTAGACTTGAGTTAACTCGCACATGAATTTCTTTTTATAGAAGATAACAGTGTTCACTTAAAAAGTATTTCTAATTTTCTCTGACGAGTGTTGTACCCTGGAAGTAACATGTGTATTGAATTGAATTAAATTGAATTGAATTAATGCCTTATTTTACGTGGTGAGACTCAGGCCATTAGGAATGCTCCTCCGTTTGACCAAGCAAATTTTGCTACGCTCCTGTCACCAACTACCAGAGAAAGGAAGTATTTCTTGGGCAAGAAACAGGCGATTTGAATTTAGCTCAGAGGCGTCATTTAGGCTTGAGAATCTTTTACATGCAAGTAAATCTACGCACATGGGACAGCTGGCTTTACTTCCCCTCCGAGGGAAGGCGTACAAAGGATTTTTTCGCCCTTAAAAATCCACGGCTTCGATCGGGTTTGAACCCGCTGACTTGGGTACAACAGACCGAAACGCTAACCATTATTCCATCGCCGCCAATGTGTAAGGTGTAGCAGATGACTATTATCCTCTATTGGTGTCCTCAAAATATGAATAATACTTTTTTGTTTATGTCAGTCTTCCAATAAAAAGAATGCTACATGAAATCATTTACCATGAACTTAGTGGTCATAATATTACAATAGACATGCTTATAGCTGAAAAAAGACATATATTTTGGATTCCAAATATAACACAATAATATAATTTACACAATATGACTTCTAGTTTATTAATGTTATCTTTTCACTTGTAGTGATTCGGAGGATCCTCCTGCAATCAAAAAGAAAAGGTAATATTTAACTTCTAATTTTACATTTTTGCATTCATGTTTTGTTTTCTTCAGCCTTTGTTAGACACGATATAGATTGGGATTTCAATATATTTAACATCACCTAATCTTTTAAGTGTTATAACATGCTTATATTTAAGAATTTAGTGCTTAACCTAAATTAATATATCCCAAAGATTCTCGTACTTGTAAATGCTCCTTCAGTTTTTATGAATACATAACTTCCTGAACGCTTGATAAAGACAATCCTGGGAAATGTTTTGATGACACACACAAAACACAAACACAAAGGATAAAAAGTGTTAATTCTTCTAGAATTTTGCATTGATCAACTGGATTTTGAACTCTGGCACCCAGGGATGGAAAACTTGCATGTTGATCTCTTTCCCATGATAACCTCAAAATGTTTTGGTAACTCTTCATATTTTTGTAGACTTTTTTGTGTTATGCACAATACAAAAGTTTTCCTTCTTTTGTGTTGTTCTTGAGTAGTTCCAATTGCGCAGATTTATTCACAACAGCATGTGTACGTGAAATGCACGCATGCTTTAAATGATGATATGCATTGCATATCATTATTTAAACCTTTACAAGCTTTGTATATATCTCTATATGATAGCATTGTAATGGGGCATATTTCCTTGATGTTCTGTAATTTTCATGATAATAAAAATCATTTGAATTTTCTGTTCATTATTAACCTTTTGTGCATGTTATTGTTATCGCAAATGTGACTTCAATTTCAACTCTTCTAAAGAGACTGTTTCGTAGTATTCCTGTGATTGATTGCAGTCCATTTGTTTGGAATCTGGATGGCTTAAAATTCAAGACCAGGTGGAAGTATATCTTCAAGTGAAACACTAGATGTTTTGTTACTGCATGTTGATAATATAATGCAAAAGCATTCTTTTTTAAAATTTAAATACAACATATATGCCTTTCTTTTAGTGCAATTTTTAATTTATGATAATATGAAGAAATAAAAATATTGTTTGCAGCAAAAGAACTGGAGCTCAACGACGTCTTTTAAATTCAGATTCAGATGTTCTTACAATAAGTTCTGATAGCCCGTCAAGTGATTCTGATGACAATCTCTTTAAGCCTAGCGCTAAGAGAAAACATAAAGGCAGTAGTGGAAGTGACAAATCAAAGAAAAAAAGTTCTGCTTCAGAAAGTGATCAATCTGTGTAAGTATTTGTTATGCACTCATTTTGCAACATTTTCTTATAGACTTCAATGGACAATGATTTGATGAGCATTTTTGTATTGCAGCAAGAAAAAAACAAAACGTCGTCGAATCAAAAAGCCTGCATCTGATTCAAGTAATAGTGACAGTAATGATGGTGTACATAATTCTCAAAAAGTAAGTAATCAATTCTTTTCCACTTTCTTGCCTTTCTACATATGTAGTAAAGAGAGAGTCTTGTAATTGTCTAATTCTGACAGAAAAGCTCTTATTGTCGGGCCCTGGTTTTGGAATAGGGGATACATCTTGTTTCTGTATGGAGTCAATTCTTCTTTAAACATGTTGTTTAGCCAGAACTCCTAAAATGTTCTGATAATTTTCTTCAAAATTGACATTCTACTACTTTGATTTCACTATTAGAATGAACTAGAGGGCCTGTGAGTTTGAAACTGATGTTTTAATTTTTGGGGGTCTTTAAATAAGTTTGCTCTGATTTTTTTCCAAAAATGGCTGACTTTTGGATTTTGTTTTTAGTTATTTATTTTATATATTAAGCTTTGCCCTTGCAAAATTTCAACATTTTTTTAGCATCTTTCTACAACTACAATATTGAAGATAGAGATATTTTCCATAATGTAATCTGTTCTTCAGAGATTAATTTTTAAATAAGGTCATGTACAATTTTCCATAATATGAATAATTTTTGCATAATTTTGCCTGAAATGTAGGCCACTTAATAGATATGTGAATGCTTTCAGAGACAGAGTAAATACATACTTGACGAACCAGGATGTGCCAAGTACTAGCCACATTTCAGAATGTTTCGATCTTCTGCGACCTTTCTCAGGGCACAATGCCTTAATTCCCGAACTGCCAAGTATCTAATTTTTAAACAGTTATTGATGATACAATATTGATGATAGAAATTTTTTCGTAAATAAAATCTGTTCTAAAACTTTTGTAAGTAGCCATAGAATAAACCAAACAAAGAATAAGCCTTCAGAAAAAATTAGGACCTTCACTTCTGTAAAATGAATAAGATCTCCTCTCCTACTAGTTTTCCTTCCAGTTTTATCCAACATATTTGCAACCTTAACAAAGTTATTGTTGAAGACTATAATGTAAAAGTAGTTAAAGAGAAAATCATGCATTAAAGGTTTTTTCCAATTTTATGAAAGTTTCAATGACTCTTTGAACAATTTATTTGGGTCCTAATGTGTAAAAGGGTTGAAATTAATTATGTCCACATTTAATGTCAACAAAGGAAGATGGTTATTATTGGGTCAGCACTAGACTTATAAAGTATGGTGCTTCTATAAGTATGCTGCTTTGCTATTCTACATTTAAATTTTAACAATTTCATTTTGTAAAATTTCTTCTTTACAGACAGATACAACACCAAATAAGGGCCGAAAAAATATTAGAAAAGTCATGAAAGATGACAATGTTGCAGAAGCAACACGCCGAGCAGCTAAAGAAGAAGAAGAACGACGTAAAAGAATTGCTGAAAAACAAAAATTGGTATGCTGAGTTGTATTCATACTTTTTATAAATTTCTTAGTTAAAAATGTACAAAAAATATTTTCCCCCTTGTGCTTTATTGTGAATGAAAAATTAACTGGTAACAAATGATTTAATACTTGTAAAGGTTATATTAGATAAGTAAACCCTGAGATTAATAAATACTATTTGTGTTTAATTTAACAGTTTTTACTTTCTTGCTACATTTTACACAGTATTGAAAAATAATAGAAAAACAGCATATTTTCAACGGAAAAACCCTTATTGGCCCTTGTACCGAGAAAGTGGATAAATATCGCCTCTTTAGTAAATTACTTCCTCTAACACGTTGTCAAGTCAGAATCTGTGTTATGGGTCCTTGATACCGAAAAATCAATCAAGCAAAAGGTCTTTCCATCGGCCTCTAAACAATGCTAGCGGCAAAGGCTAAACCATAAGCACGATTACCACCAGAAACAATAATTTCCAATCAATCTGTCTGATGTCATGGCCCCTTGAATTTGAAATCAATATTTTAATTGACACGACATGTAATTGATATGAAGCCCCTGGGTGTTTTCAAAATTTTGTGAAAATGCCACTAAATGTTTTAATTAAATTTTGACCTAGGCTAGCATATAGAATGGTTAACAGAAAGGTTCAGGTCTGATTTTCGTTGAAAACCCAGATATATTAGCACAGAAATTGTAATATTTCAATATTACATAACCGTTTCCATTAATGTGAGAAATTATGTGCTGTTGGAGCACTACTAATTTAGTAATAATATTTTCTGTTAATGAACCCTGACTTTAATGTACGAGAAAACATTGTTATTTCATGAAGAAGGCATGTATGCCTTCATGCATTAAAGCATTTCATGTATTAATGTAAAGATACAATAATGTATGAAATTTGTAAATATGCCTAGTTATCAATTCCTTTAATTATATCAAAGAAAACAGTTAAAAAGAAATTATGTTTGTATTTCAGTATAATGCTCTTTACAATTTGTCTGAAGCTCAAGTTGAGACTGTGGATAAATTGGTCCTGGATTTTGATGCAGAAACGAAGAAAGAATTAGTTCAAGTAGACAAAAATCTTGTGAAAAAGTTGAAACCTCACCAGGTAAGATTAAAATGTATTTCAGTATGAAAAGATACACAAGATTTCAAAATCTTTTTAAAATTATATTGAAAAACTGTCCAGAATATAACATAAGTTTAGTGGAGGCCAGTGCCCCCACAAACTGGAGGTTGCAGCTCCACCAAAGGCTAAAAATGTAATTTCCAAAATTTAGAAAACAATTATATAAGAAAACAGAAGCAAATCATATAAATTAATTAAACCAAGTTTAATAAAAGTCTATGTTGAAACATAACTTACATGATTTTATGCATATTGTCCTTGTCAGTTATATTCACTTCCTACGCATGTGGCCTGGCTTTGATTTCCAGTGAGCATTGAATTTTTTGTATTAGTTATACATTAAGATCATTGACAATAATAGAGTTCATACAAAACAAAACAGAATTTGGTTTCAAAAATACAGTGATTGGTCTCCAGCACCGTGTAACGAGCACTATTGTTTGGACATGTTTTATGCAAATAAAATTATTTTATTTTAAAATTGCACTGTGGTATACATTGCAATAATGAAAGATCTTCCGCACACACTCGTATTAACAACAATGCTCGGACTTTAATTGCTGCCATTGCTGGGAAGATGCACCCAGTAGGAGAGTCAGAAAGGAATTTCCTTCCAGAATGGGCATCTTTACATAAAGGACTCATCAAATGTACATTTTGAATCAACAAACTTAACATGAAAAGAAAAAAATCTCCAAACGTAAATAATGCATTGAATGTCACCAATAATTTACTGATCTAATGTACTTTCAATAACACGCAAAAGTCATAAAATTCAATTGCAGTTATTGTCTGATGAAGGTAGATGATTGGTATTATCTATTGGGTGCAACACCACATTCGGCGACTAGACCCATGGAAGAACACTGATCACCACACCAAAGGCACTGGGTTGAAACACAGGGCCAAAGAGTAAATGCAGTAAACGAAGTAATAGTGCCAAGAGCATGACATGGTGTGCTGCATGGGGGAGAACCAGACCCGGAGAGTGCTTATTGGGCTCTTCTTGATTTCAAAATGATTTCATATATATTAATATTGCTGCAATACCTTGAATATTGAATGTCCTTAAAAGGGAAATTTATATTACTAGCAAATTACAAGATCGTTTTTGATTATTGGAGGGAGGGGAGCAATTTTGCATGAGCCACCACTGCCTAAGAATTAATTGGTTAATATTCCTACTTGTCATGCCATACTAAACTTACTCAGAAACATATGTTCAGTTGTTGTTTAAATGTCAAGGCAATATGTAGTTGTTGCATTGAAAATTCTAGGCTAGTGTAGCTAGATTTTTTGTGGTTTTCCTGTAGGATGTTCATATACTTTACTTATTTCTGAGAAGAAAAAATTAATAAGGCAAGAGTTGAAATTACCATAAGAGTCATGTTGCATTGTTATTTTGTTTACTTACATTTTGCCATTGTTTTTTAGTATATAAAATTGTTTTTAAAACCAATTTTAATGCACTTTTGTATTTGAATAGAAATGTATCCATAAATAAATGAAAAAAGAAACAATTCTCAGTTCTTCTGTAACTATTGCTTTCAGGTGAAAGGAGTTAAATTCATGTGGGACGCTTGCTTTGAATCATTAGAAATGATTAAGAAGAGTGAAGGATCTGGATGCATTTTAGCGCATTGCATGGGTTTGGGTAAAACATTACAGGTAAATAATATGACCATTGATTCTTTGGAATATATGTGCTCTAGAATATTCTTTGAAATTCTCTCCAATTTTTCCTTTTTAAATTCATATATAATTTTTCTTGTATTTAGTTGCTCTTGCACATTACTCTAAAAATATATTGAACTTCTTGCTGGCAGTGTTGTAGACTTATGCCAGGAAAACAAATTTGGTAATGTACTTTTATTTCAAAATTCTTCAAATTATTTTATTTTTCTTTATTATACTTCAAATTTATTTCAAATTTTATGTATCCTGAGAGGTATGTGAAAATCAAGACTATGACACAAATTTCAATTAGTTCTGTGGTAAAGTTTAATAGATACCAGGAAATGTACAGGAATAGAATTATGTTTTCTTGGCCTTTGCAGCCCAAGACCTTTTTTTTTTATCTTTTCTCATTGTGGCAAATTAGTAATTAAAAGTTATAAATTTATTACTTGATTGATTAGAGTTTTTCGGACTGGTAATTATTCCGTAAGTGAAGTGCATGTTTTATCGTGAGCAGTGGCCTACTGGATGGCAAGATCCAGTACTGACTTACATGTCAGCTCGCAGGAGTTTCCCCAACTGTTGGGCCACCACCTCAGCCAGGACATGCTCTATGCTCTCTTCCAATGTGTGTGGTAGTGTAGTGTATGGAAGTGAAAGTATGGAGTAAAAACAAAGGAAAGGCAGGAAAGATAGTATACAGTCCATGGCCCATTTGTTAGAGCACTGCTCTGGTATTCGCCTGGTGTTCAACAACGAAATCACAGAAAACTATTAATCAGAGCAGCCAGCAGCTCAATTAATCCTAGTTATCTAGCTAGTATTGAAAATCCTACCACCGTTGGGACTCGAAACCCTAAACCTTTCCAGTCAGAGGCACTGCAGTGACATCAGATGTCCTCAGCCCTCTGGTTTTAATTTTACTCTAGTTACTTAATGCAAGTGTGATAGTAATTATGTATATTTTTTCTTCAAAAGTGTGAAAGGTATATTTCAAAGGACATCTCTTAAATTTCTCCTGTTTTCCACTTCTTAATTTGGTAAATAATTTAGAGGAAAAGTTGGTATGCCAGGAAAGTCTCTCTGCAGTGGCACCATACTGGTGAGTGCTAGAAACAGAAATTATGTTGGTAACAGCTCATAACAAAAGAAAATGTAAATATCGTACCCAACACAATTGTAACAGATGCCGGAAAGGTTGTCCCCTTCAATTGGTTTCCAGTGATCTGGTTGCTACCAACATTAATGTGTTAGGCGAGGCCCTGACTTGGCTCAGTGCAGAGAGACTTTCCTGGCACACTATGAATAATTATTGCATTGTCTACTTTATAAGGATATTTCCATTAAAAAAATCATTCTGTGCAAATTTTGAATTTTTGTTATTTGCTTTCTGCTTTGTCTCTATCTTAAAGCATCATTTCTTGTCTAGAAGATAATAATATTTCTGTTGTATTCATGTGTTGTTTTTTTTGCATTGCTTTTCAAATTAGGTAATTACCTTAGCACACACTCTGTTGAATAACCGTAAGACTAAAATTAAGACTGTGTTGGTTGTATGCCCATTAAGTACTGTACTTAACTGGGTTAGTGAATTCAGTAAATGGCTTGATGAATCGGAAGATAATGACATTGAAGTAATGGATATAACAAGGTGTGTAGTATACTCATTAATTTTTTTCTTCTTTCTTCCTAAATTTAACTAGTTTACTAGTAGTGAAAATGTTTCTTAAATTATTTCACGGCTTTGTGTTATGTTGATATGTTTAGATACAAACAAATGTATGAGCGCATTGGACTCCTGAAACATTGGCATTCAAAAGGGGGTGTTTTGATTTTGTCATATTCATCATATCGCACTTTGACAAATCCGTCAATTAGAAGGCAGAAAAAGAAAAGCATTGAAAGCCTCCAGGCAACTCTTGTAGATCCAGGTACCATTTGTTATTTTAATTATTTCTATATTCTATATAATATTTCTATACGTCTGTTGTTTAACCATGTTTCATTATTTATATTTTTGTAATGTTTGTATACTTTTTTATGAGGAGAATGTATTCATCACAAAAAATTGATATTATTTTTAAGGAAATAGTGTTTGTAAGATTTTGAATTGTTTTTGCAGAATAAACTGTGTCTTCTCCTCTTCATGATAAGAAAACAATTAGTTTTCACTTTCTATTCAACCAATATTTCTTATGATGCCATGTTACAATTTTATACAGACTATCATAAATTATTTCAAAAGTAATAGCCGATTTATACATAGTTTATAATGCTGCTGGTTATAAAATATGTGTTTTTGTAACCAAATGCTGCAATCTTTAAAAGTTTCTGTGCATACTTCAACATTTTTATTCATACTTCAGCACATTTGCATACTTATTTTAAGGCTAAAAGCTTGCACAAAATTTTCCAGTCGTAATCTTCAACTCAAACAAATATTGTTCCCGAAAAATATTGAGTTTATTCATGGTGGATGTTTTCGTCTCCCACTGAAAAGGTGATGGATCTTCACCTTCCTACTTGTGTCGAGAATTGATTCAGTTTTGAGGTTCCTAATGCCAGCAGACATCGGCAGACTAATGATATGGCTTGACGATTTCAACCACATCCTCTTTATGTTTGGCTACGAGAGTGAGCGCTGCATCGTCCGCGAAACCGCTGATCTTCTTCCGACACCTTTGGGCATCTCTATTGTGTGGACTCCATTCCACAGTAGGGGGCCCAAGACATCCTTGTGAAACGCTTCCAGTAAACGTATGGGTCTTTCGTGCTGTACAACAACGTTCTGCCTGAAAGTAGCCATCAATGATCTTAACCGGATACTGCGGCACTCTCATATGCTGCAAAGCTCTTAGAATGCAGCTCCATCTTGCCGAATTGAAGGTGTTCTTAACAGGGATGGCGATAGTACAATGCTTTTTCCTACCCCTTCTCCATTTTTGCCTTGTGTTGCCTTCCTGGCTATGTCAACTACATGTTGAGCATCATCTATTGTAGATCTTTTCTCCTTTCTAAATCCGTATTGTTTTTCTGGAAGCCCTCCTGTGCTCTCCATAGCTTGTTTCACATGACTGCATATCAATCGTTTAAGTTCTTTCCCAGTTTTGTCCGTCATGCATACAGGCCAGTAGGACGATGCTTTCTATATTGGACCTTTCCTCTTAGGAAGTCGTACCAGCCGCTGCATCTTCCAATTTATCTGAAATACGCCTCTCAAGATTGGGTAGGTTCGAATTGCTACTTTGAGGACAATGTTTGTGATGCCTTCTGGACCCGGAGCCTTGTTGTTCACCACCTTTTCACAAGCGAGTTCGAGTTCTTCCTCTGTAACTGAGTGTATCTCGTAATCGCCTTCTCTTGGTCTCGCCTCGAGCTCCAGGAGCCGCTTTGGACTTTTGGGAAGAGCATGGTGACTATTCTTTGAAGAGTGGTTGCACAGTTAGGCACTTGTGGGTTCCTCATTTTGCCCATTACAATACTGTAGGGTCTTCCCCATGGATCATTATTCACTTCATTGTACAACTCGTCCCAGCTCGGCGTTTGCTGTCCTTGATGACTGTTTTTAGGTTGCACCAGGCCTTTCCGTATTGTTGACGTCGTACAACCTTGGATTCTCTTCCTCGTGTTCATTGGTGCAGCCTCCTTGCAATTTCCTCCTTCCACCAGTACATTGCCCAGTGGTAGGGCAACAAGCCCTCTCTTCTAGGATCGCATGCTTGAGCGATGTGGTTCATCAATTGTAGGGCTTTATTGTTGGGTGTGTTTGTTAGGTCAACACCTACGAGCAGTGTGTGTGTGCGGGTGCGCCCATTTTTTTGTCATGTTGGATTTCAGGCATTCTGTATGGTTTTTTTTAATAGTACCCCTTTTTTATCTCTTGAACCCAGTTGGAATTGTTTGTTAAGTATTTATTGTACATTATAATTTATAACATATACAGTTTCAAATTCTTTATGTTTTTTCCTACTTGTTTCAGGGCCAGATTTAGTCATTTGTGATGAAGGTCATCAACTTAAAAATGAAGAAAGTGCACTTTCCAAAGCAATGAGTCGCTTGAGAACAAAACGGCGAATAGTGTTGACTGGAACTCCATTGCAAAACAATTTGCTGGAATGTAAGTAATTCCTAAGCCATTGTAAACTTCAGTGTTGTTTATTTCATAATATTACATGCAATTACAGCTAACAACGCGTTTTTATGAATAGGTTTCAGTGACTATGCAAACATTATTCTGATAACTTGAACACTGTCACATTAAATAATACATGCATGACTCAGTTGTTTGGTAATGCAGTAAAACCTGACTAAACCGGAATCGTTTGGGTCCAATATTTGCTTGTGTCTTGTACAAGTTTCCGTCGTATTCGGGTTTGCAATAAAAAAACTACCAGTTGAGAAAGCGCAATTGTGCAAAGATGGAATAGGTTGCATGATAAGTTTAATTCTCCTAAAACATTTGAAAAAACGAAAACGTCCCGGGAGAGACAAAGAAAATTACGCACAGAAACGCAACACGATAAAGTCTCTTGAAACAAAGAACTCCATAAAACATAAAAGAAATCTTGTTTTAATATTTGTAGAAACAGATTAATTCTGCTGATTTAGTCTTCGCCTATTTGTCTAGGTCCTCATGAATATTATGTCAATCACCAATAAAAAAAATATTTTAACAACCCATTCTCCCAGTTCCAACCCACTCCCAGCGGCGGCGATGGTGTAATGATTAGCGTACTGGACTGTTGTACCCAAGTTGGCGGGTTCAAACCCGATTGAAGCCGTGGATTTTTAAGGGCGAAAAAATCCTTCGTACGCCTTCCTTCGGAGGGGAAGTAAAGCCGGCTGTCCCGTGTTCGTAGATTTTCTTGCATGTCAAAGATCCTCAAGCCTAAATGACGCCTCTGAGCTAAATTCAAATCGCCTGTTTCTCGCCCAAGAAATACCTCCTTTCTCTGCTAGTTGGTGAAAGGAGCGTAGCGAAATTTGCGTGGTCAGACGGAAGAGCGGGCCTGATTGCCCGAGTCTCGCCACGTAAAATAAGGCAAATTCAATTCAATTCAATTCAAATTCAATTCTTGATTTTTTAAGTTTTCATTCGTTTCGTTTTTTAAGGTGTCATTCACTTAAGTTTTCTCAACTTTAAATTTCTTTGTTCAAAAGAATCTTTTCACCACGACCGAAAATTCGAGATCGTGTTGTTAAGGTAGTGCAGGAATCATGGAACACTTTTTACAGAACTGTTGATACAAATGACAAATATACAAGTACTTAATTTTTAGGCGCTCTCATTTCACGTCTGTTGGTCCTTTCCTCCCAAAAAGAAGAAAATAGAATATTTAACGGAAAAGCAATACTTGGATAACATGTGGGATTAGAACATCATCTAAAACCAAACGAATCATTCATTTCATTTATAAACCACGAATCTCATGATATCCACCTCTAACTCCCAAAAATACAAATAATTGCTAAGAAAAATCATAAGGCAGGCTAACAATGAGGATACTCGTGAAACAATGGGGATACTCAAATAACAAAACAAAAGCAATAAGCAATGTGGAACATAGTTTGAGGGTCAGTCAAATGAAAACGAGAGAACTGGGAGAAAAGTAATCGCAATATCTATCTATCTATCTATATATCTATATATATATA